GAAGTAAACATGATGACTAACAAGCACACAAGTGTCCAGTACCCCATTGCACCCACATATACAGAAGGCTAGCTGTAGTCTCAGCCATGCAGCACTTTTGCATTTGGTGGTTGTTTTGTGGTATATTGTCGCTGAACCACAGGAGTGCCTGATCTTCATTTGAACTTAAGACAGTTAGACATGGTCCTGTCTCCCTACAGGGGAAGTATCCAGCAGACACTCGTCTTAGGCAAGGCAAGTTTGTCTGCAGAGCAAAGACATATAGATTAAAACATTAGAATACAAGTTAGAAAGAACTAGAATGACTGTTTCGCGGTTGTATGCCTCCGCCATCCATTAATGTTACAGTTTACATCCATGTCTGTCCAAAATATCATCACTTCATCATTTTATTCTGTTAGACATTCATGTAAAATTATCATAATTGGCATATGTGGTCTTGAGTCATTGTTACAGTGACCTTTGATCATCAAATTCGAATCAGTTCATTCTTGAGTCCAGGTGAAAGTTTGTGTCAAATTTGAAGAAATTTGCTCAAGGTGTTCCTGAGATATCGAGGTTTTGCAGTAACTGTGGAGCAGTAATGTTACAGAGCAGAGAGCCGGAATAAATGAGTAAAATGTATCAACTTAATGCTTCATCCACACAATCTTCTCACGATGTAAGTGCCAGGTGTAAGTGCAAGGAGTGATTAAAGTTGCTTTAATCACATTTTTTTTTATCAACATTAGATCAAGTGATTACTTATTTGTGAAAGGGGTTTTCGTGGTGATGAACTCTCAGATAAATATCACCCAAATCTGCAGTCCCCTCAGCTCTACAGAGCATTTTAGCATCTTTCAGCTCATTGTTTGGTTTGGAGATCATTTCCAGCTGCAGCAGCTGTTATTAGCAAAGAACGTTATATACCTACTGTACACTTACTCATTCTCATCTTACCCTAAACTCAAACCTAAACTCTGACCTTAACCAGACCTGCAGTGAGGGAGGGATAGAGAAGAGAGAGAGTTTTTTTGAGCAGCAGACAAAAACAATGAGGGTTGACAACAATGTGCGGGTGCGAAGCCACATCCGCAGCCTGCAGCGCTGTGGGGGAAAAAAAGCACGAGGAGTAGATGTCCTGCGATACTGTGAAAACTTTAACTGGGTCAGTTGTCAACATGCAGGATGTTTTTGCATGTGATGTGAAGGGACATTAATCATAATTATTCTTGTCATATTTTATCAGTAAATACAATCAACCTAATAATAGCTCAGGTCACAGACTAAAAGCAAAGAAAGGAAAGAGTAGACAAACCACAGGCATGACACTTTATACTTGTATTGGTTTCTATACACATATGGCAACCATAGACTGTATATGTAGATGATGAAATGTATCTTCAAGTGCCTGGTGTATCTCAGTTTGATGGAATGTACTGAACCATTTTGTGACGCAGCAGTGGGAGCTGGCCAGCGGATAGCAGGATGCAGTAGCAGTTAGCAGCAACACATTTGGTTGGAAGCAGCAATATTTTAAAGTAAATAACACAGAAGTTACATACCAATCACTGTCAAGTAAACGCTGTTAGCAGTAGCGACTGTATGAATTGGGATAGATAGACTCTGTGTAGTTGTACAGAGAGATCAGCTGATTAGATCCTGGTTTAACCTTTAGCTTCAATCTGCTTTTTTACATGTGGCCAACCATTTTCCTGAGTAACTGTGCAGCAGTTTTACCTACATGTCGAAAGTCCTCTCTTGTGTTTAGGAATGAAACCACTCATTAGTTTAATGTGGAGCAAAGAATATGAGTCTTTTATATGTGTGTGTGTGTGTGTGTGTGTGTGTGTGTGTGTGTGGGTGGACGTGTGGCTTTTTAATTATATTAATCTATCACTTTGCTGGATTGATAAACTGTGCATCAGCCCTGTTTGGGCATGAGTGGATGCAGACAACATGAAAGAGTCTGATTTAGGGTTTTGGTGATGACAGCGGTGTAGACTGAGAAATATTTTCCTTGGCAGTATTCCAACAGGAAGTGAAGCAGTCTATTTAACCCCAAAAATGACTGGGCTTGATTGCAATAACAATATGAAGCACCAACAGTAATATTCTCCCATACGCACACAAATGAATGCCTGGCAGGTAACATGTGTAAAGCTTTAGCCATGCTTAGACTTGGTGAAGTGTCATCATCTCAGTAATTCCTGCTGTTGCTGACCATGACCATTTATGGGGTTTGTTGGGGGAAGATGTAACTCTCAACCGTCTGCTTTAACAGAGAGGGAGACTTCCATTATTTGAATTAAGAAGCAGCACAAATACAGTATATGTTTTTCCTCTCATCTAATACGTTAATTATTAATATACCCTGTCCATTAGAGAAGAATCATCTATTCTTTATACACATAAAGGGCAACAGACAGGATTACTGTCGGAGAAACTGACCCTTTGCTAATGTTTTGTTCCAGTGTGCTGCCTTCTCTTTCCATCTGTGGAGGTGTTTTGTCTGAGACAACCGGGCTGCCGAGATAATTAAACCTCACCCAAGCTTTAATCCATCCATCAATCTGTATGCAGTAGAACATTTGTGTGGCACATAAAACCTCCACCGTAGAAGTTACACAAATCTGCTGCAGTGATATGTTGAAATGGTCACAGAAAATCATTTTCCTGAAATTTAAGTTAGACTTTACTATCCACTACTATTTTCATGGACAGAGAGGTTACACAAGAAGAAAATGTTGAACATCATTTTGATGTCCATAAATCCTGCAGGATGCATTCACAGCATGCTCGCTAGCAGGCTGACTGCTGACACTCCCTGCAGTCCGGATGGTGGTCCAGCTGTTACTCTGTGGGAAAATGACACATTACATAAGTGTCTCAAGCAAACATGACCCGCTGAGTCGCTCAGCTCAGTGGTGATTTGGACGTCACGTTGACCATTATGCACCATTAAGGGTCAGTTCATAGGAAATGCTGATGTGTTTGTAGAAAAGCCGGCAGAAAGGTGCACTTTTTTATCATTTCAACAGATGGTAAGGTGGTTGATCTTGATAGATAAAAAGACAAGGAGACCAGATGGCTGTCTTTGTTTGTGGATGACAACATACAATATGTGTTTATGTTAAATTGGTTCTGTTATGTTGTTACTTGAGTCACAAAATTGAGGATGTGGTGTCAGAAAGTGATTTTTGGTAAAGTAATTCTGACATTTTATTGTTAATTGTAGGGAGGTTGTTGGGCTCTTCAATGTTGCATGGAGGTCTGGGACAGTGCAGAGAGTATTTTGGCAGACCAAAGTGTTGGTTGCCATTCTTTAAAGCAGGGGACTGGACGCTGCGCTCCAATTATCAAACCACTCAGACTCCCTTCAACAGTTTATCCCAGGGTGCTAGAAACGAGGCTTCTGCGACTTCTTTTCTTCTTTTTTTCTCTCCTTCTCCTTATCTCCATCAATTATTTGCCTTTTTAAAATTTCCTCGATACATTTTTCTTTCTTCTACCGTCCTAAACTGGTTGATTATTGTTGCTCCGCATGACTTTTGACTAGATTCATGTTGAAGATAAGCCAATGGTTCAAACCTTGGCCAAGGACACACACACACATACACACACACACTTTCTTTCTCTTGCATAAAGCGCATTATTTACACTCACACACACACACACACACACACACACACACGCACACACACACACACACACACACTGACTCTCCTCAATTCCCTCTTAATCATCCCATTATAGAGATGAGTTTGTGTCGTTCACTGCATGAAGTACCAGGCGATGAATTAGTTTGATTACAGTCTTATTTGAATTCAACCTACTTTACTTGTCTGCATTGTTTAGTCGGAGGCTAGAGACTTTTGCCTGACATCATATTAACATGATAAATATACAGAACATGTATTTGAATAAAATCATCACAAAAGATCATCACCAATGTCGTGAACAGTGAACCAAATATTAGTGTGCTTGGGGAAGGTTTTGTTGATCGACATGATATAAAAGGAGAACTGAATTGAATAAGTGCGAAAAGCACTTTATTTAATATTCTACCGTCAATATGGCGTCTTGTTTAATGGCAGTATCAGGCAGTTTTGGCAAATGGATGACCCAGATTTCCACTGGCTTCTTGAAAGCTTGCTATTATGATTACAGCTTACATAAATGTGCTGACAGGGAATAGTGGCTTCTGGCGAGAGTCCAGGTTGACAAAATGAGCCTCATGAAAGATTCCACTTTGCTACGATCAGCAGAACAGAGTGAAATGTTAATGTTAGGGTGCTTGATTAAAACAGTGTGGTAGAGAATTATGTACCAGTTTCCATAGTCAAGAGACTGGACACAAAATCCAGCTGTGTTGTAAAAGGGTGTCAGCTTCAGTGTTGGACCAGCCTGAGTTGTGGATGAGGGCAGTTCAGTGCAGACGTGATGTGTTCAGTTGTGACTGATTCAGGGCATTGCTTTCTTTTTAAATAATCAAAATGCTCAAGGACTGATGTCCTGGTATCTGCATGTCAGTTGATCTACGTGCACCTATGCAAAAGCAAATAAAGTGTGTGTCAATGGAATACTATCCATGTTCAGTTATGCTTCATTTTAACTGCCTCTTCACTTCATCATTGTTTCTGACACATCTTAGTAAAAGCACTGCAGATACTTTGAACAGGACAGTGTTGGGCCTTCGTCGATGTCACCACATTTTTTGGTTTAAATACATTTTTTTTTCAGAAAATGTCTAACAAATGCACGCAGTCAAGCTGCCTTATATAAACTCCAGTTAAAGTTATGAGTCCGTCCTCGTGAGAACAGATGTGTTTATAATAATTTTGGACTGGTGGGTACAGTAGCTGCAGCTACTAAAGTTACAGTTAGGGCTTAACACAGGAAATTGACCAACATTTTTGTGCAGAAATCTGTCTGCAGCATCTGACCTGAGAGGATGTACCCCACAATTAACTGCTGTATGTTAACCCACTCCTTTTCCCTCTTTTTCCTTCTCTCTGCAGCAGAGTCGTACTCTGTGGCGGGCAGTACCGGCAGCATCACCCCATCAGTGGGCCCTGTGCCCCACCAGGCATCAGGCAGCTCCAGCCCCTGCTCACACTCCTCGTCTGGAGGATCACGGCACCCTGTCAGCACTCTCAAGAAATGGCTTACCAATCCCTTCCGCAAGCTGAGCTCTGATACCAGAGGAGGAACGGGTAAAGTCGAGAAGCAGATGTGCAGGTCAGACAGGAGGCAGCCGCCATCGCTCCTTTCCCATAGTGAAACTCAGCCGAGGCCTCTGGAACCCTACGACAACAACACCATCCTCCCATCAGGAGATACGGTGAGACTTAAAGACAGACGGCTACGTTTATACCTCCTGAGGAAATACGTTTTATGTTCTTGTTTGTAATGGTTGTTGTGTTTGTGTTGTACAGGTTTGGAGAGACGGTCTGTTGAGTCCTACAGCTCCTCCTACACAGCTGCCCTGTCAGAGCTACTTATCTAACCTCCTGCAAGGCAGAGACACTCAGACTCCAGTAACGTCTCTATTCTACTCTCCTCTAATGCATTCTGTTCTATTCAATGGTCCGTTTCAGCAGATAAACTGCAGTTGCAGCTCCACCAACCTTTGTCAAGACAGAAATTCAGTGTCTCAAATTAAGATATATCAGAAAATAAAAAAACGAAAGAACTAGAAAACTGAATCATATGAACAAAAAAAAAAGACAAGGTTGAAAGTTTTTATTTTATTTTTTTACCTGGGTCCATAATTAAAATAGTCTGTGGTGCAAAAAAAGTTGGAACATATACTGAGGCACGTCATTGCTGCGATGGCATGAAATAAATTTAAATGTAATTACAGTACAAAGTAGTAGAGAAAAACTAAATAAAAAAATAAAATATGATTTATATTTATTTATGAATTAATAAATAAATAATGCAAACTATTCAAGTCAGAGGTGCTCTCGCCACTAAATTCTTCTCACTTCAATTATTGTAATTCTTTCAGTGGAGCCTCTCTCATCATCCAGCCCTTAGGTACTGCAGGTATCATGAGTTATTAATGTATAAATTACAGAAACACACTTAAATGTTGAGACAACTCACACTGAAATCATGAATTATAAACATGCACATCCCTCTACATCATGTTCAGTTTTATTGGCATAATTCTAGTTTGACTTCCACCAATTATGTCAAATGAATAGCACATATTTCCACACGTGTTCAAAAACACAAACACACACAAGCACATACCACTACTTTTCTGGTAACCCTACACTAGTGAATACTCTTTGTAAGGCCCGGTGGAGTGGAATCAATCCTGTGGGCTTTTGCAGTCGGCATCTGGAAGTAATCAACTAGCAAAGCAGTCTGAAACAGCCTGAAACAGGGTCAGGGTTGGGGGGTGAGGAGTGTACTTTCACGACACCCAAGCAGCCCGAGCAATAAAGAGCTAATTAGCCAAGGGTCAATCCAGGGCCGTCAGCAGTACGTGAGCATAATACTGCCGTTTGCTGTTGGACTGGTAAAGGAACCTCCTCGTCCAGCTCGGCATCAACCTGTAGTTCCTTCCTGTAGTCGTAGTTCCTGTAGCATTGTCATTGACATTGTTCTACTTGATAAATGACTGTCCTCACTTTCAGCCTTTCTCAGTCCATTGGTTCTTTGGGACAAATTTATTTCATAGACACCTGCACCTTTATGTCTGCTTTGGCTTCTCAACCCTTTAATGTTGTTCTGCCCAGGTCAGGGCTTATCGTCTCTTAAAATATGCTTGACACCACTCTCACTTCTGTATGGTATATATAACCTAGAGAGGCCAGTTAGCTTAGTTTAGAAAAAGGGAACAGCTAGCCTGGCTATGTCCGAAGTAAACCAACCTACCAGCACCTCTAAAGCTCACCGATTTACACGCTACTTCTCATTTGGTTATTAAATACAAAAACTAAAGTGTAAAAATTACAATTAATTATCAAACAAAGAAAAATATAACTATTTCTTGCCTGGGAGCAGTAACTTCCTGGAGTCTCCGTCACATAGTCTGACACATAACCCCTTTGTCATTTTTACATGTTGGTTTTTGAACATTTTAAACAATGGATGAATAACATGTTAATTAGGGAGCTTAAGAGGTGCAGTTGACCAGATGTTTGTTATGTTTGGACAGAGCCAAGCTAACTGTTTCCCCCTGTGTCCGGTATTTATGCTAAGCTAGGCTAACTGGATACTGGCTCCAGATATCAACCCTACAGACATGAGAGTGGTATCGATCCTTTACTCCAACTCAAGCCAATAAGAATATTTCCTAAAATGCGGAACTATTCCTTTCCCACAGGAGCTAATGGACTGTAGCTGATGAGAATTAACTGTAAGAGAGGAGGAAACATTTAGAGCAATAAGTAACCTAAGCACATTTTTAATTGTGGCTGACTAGTTGACCAGAAGCAGAGGGGAGATGTAGTTTGAATCAGCCTCAGATGTTTCTCATATGCAGGATGTCTGCGGGGTGAAGACGTGAACAGTCGACTCAGACAGACAAACACAGCAAAAAAAGACAGATCCTGAAAATAAACAGAGGGCTCAGCAGCTGAATCAGCAGAAGGATTATCATCTAGTCCACGAGTCAGAGCACAAAATGTTGCAGTGAAAGTCGATTATACTGCTTTTAGGTAAAGAAAGATATTTGTTATATACAGTAACAACTTTAATGCCCAACCTCATTTATCTTACTGGACAAATTGTCCAAATGTTGCTCGTTATTCACCTTCATCTGTCAGGCCTGACTCTGCTTTTCCAAATTTCTCTGCCCAACAGTCTCCTCAGATTTAAGGAGAAACATTAAAAAGTGATTACTATTCTCAGGTTACTTGGGATTTGGGGGGTGGCATGACTTTCCAAAAGGGATCATAAAAGGGAGCATAAAATTGCTCCACTGATGTGTTCTCCAGGATTAGGACCCTCTCAACTTTGTATATTTCTCCAGATGTGTGCTGGCTGGTTCAGAGGGTGCTGTAGATGAAGCTCAATGATTTTAAGTTTGTGTGCTTGATGGCCAGTGGTCAGACATCACTCCTTCACTCAATTAAAAGGACCAATACAACAATTTAAGGATGCTCCATTACAATTCCAGTTAAAGTCCTTCATTCAAACTCCTCTTTAAGTACAAATACAGAAGTATTATCAGCAAAATGTAATTAAAGTATTAAAAGTAAAAGTACTTTGAATTCAGAAAAAGAGCCCCTGTGACTAATATATTATTATATGATATGTAAAATAGTATTATATTGGATTGTTCATACTGATGCCTCAATGTGTAAGTAGCATTTTAGTGTTGGTCTGGTCGAGGTGTAGCCCCGTGGCTCCCAACCTGGGGGTCTTGCTCCTTCAAAGGGTCACAAGATAAAACTGGGGGGTGTCTCTGCTACACATGTTAGTATTCATCTGTCTGACTTTTTTGTAATTCTAGCTATTTTTGTGATATAATGGATGTTACCTCATTACCTTTAAAGGGCAAATCTGTTTTTAGTTAAACTGCTCACAATTTATATAGGTATACATTTTAACAAGGGGCCTCAGATAGACATAAGGTGGTGCTTTATAAGGTGGTGACAAGGGTCAAAAAGTGTAGGAGCCATTAGTTTAATCATTAGCAATTCATTGTATTTTATAAACTTAACATGAGTTTTTTTTACAGAACAGTACTTGAGAAAGTGCACCCTGTGCCTCACATATCGTGATGCCGCTCTGCTTGTCTCCTCTTATGTAATATGTTACAGTGATGCTCACTAAAAGCTGTTCTGTCTTGTTTGTGTGTTTTAGGGTCAAAGATCCAGCATCAACACTCTCCAAGAGGAAGACAGCTGCACTGTGACTGACGACTCAGCTAGCCAGTGGTCTGTCACAGTGGACAGCGAAGAGGAGAGAAACATTGCACTAGAGAAGAGCATGTAGGTGTTGACCTCTACATTAAAGGAGTGGTTCGACATTTTGGGAAACATGCTCATTCGCTTTTTTGCAGAGAGCTAGATGAGAAGATTGATACCACTCTCATGTATGTATAATAAATATGAGGCTACAACCAGCAGATGGTTAGCTTAGCTTAGCATAAAGACTAGAAACTGAGGGAAACAGCTAGCCTGACTCTATCCAAAGGAAAAATCTGTTTTCCATCACCTCGAAACACATTACATCGTTTTTGTTTCATCCAAATAAAGTGTATAACCACAAGTTGTGGTTTTATGAGGGGTAATCTGTCTGGGAGAAGTGACTTTCTGCAGTCTTGTCACTGTGATGTTGTCATGCATCCAGCGGAGACTACAGGAAGTCACTGTGCCTGGCAAATTGAAATGTTCACAGTTAGACAAGAGTATGTAATGTATCAATCTTAGTGCGCTTTAGATGTGCTGCTAGGCAGATTTAGTTTATTTTAGACTGAGCTAGGCTAACTGTTTCCCCCTGTTTACAGTCCTTATGCTAAGCTAAGCTAACTGTCTCCTGGCTGTAGCTTGATGTTTCCCATTCAGACATTCAGACAGGTATCAACCTTCTCATCTAACTCCCTGCAAGAAAGCGCATGTATAATACATTTCTTGTTTTTATTTTGCCAAAATGTACATTTCTATTTCTTAATGTCCTTTATTTGCTGTTTTAAATTCTCTCTCTCAGATATGTGCTGACGGAGCTGATAGAGACTGAAAGGTTGTATGTGGAAGATCTTGGACTCATAGTGCAGGTGTGTCTCTCTTTCAGCTTTTAAATAATCTGCTTATTTATACATAACTGAGATCCCTTCATCAATAACATGCTGCAACATTCACATCTCAAAAACGGAGGGAGAAGTTATATTTTCCATCTGGAAACCTCTGATTTCATTGGTGACGTGTCTGTGTCTCTCTGTGTGTGTGTGTGTGTGTGTGTGTGTGTGTGTGTGTGTGTGTGTGT